GGGGGATACCTAAAATGTTTAAAAAAAATATCCAACATTAATATTAATTGCGAAAAATACAACGACTTTTCAACTCGAAGATGGATGGTGAAATTTGCGTAATAGAATCCTAATATGCAWTACATCCGTGGTTTATATCAGTCTGTGATAATAATATTATGCTCGTTATCATCAATAATTGGTTAGTCATGAAGTGAAAGAAAATAAACGATTTATCGGTAGTTGAATATGCCTAGTAGGCGATTATTCTAATCTTCTTAATCCTTTTATAGATTTTACAAAAATAAAAATGTCAACAACAAAATAATGAAATTAATTAATTCAAGCATTATCATAATGATAAAAATGAAATTCAGAATACAAAAAAAATRATCACCCATGGCATGGGTCGAAACACTCGAAACCTCTTGATGTATAATAGGTCTCCATTACGAATACGAGTAGATCACATGTGGTCTGGTAATAGGTCACATATTCTATTGTTATTTATTAATTATACTACCTGATAATATTGTTCAGTGCCCACTTAAATTAATATATTTTCTTCATTGCCGACTATAACGTAAATTTTAGATAAAAGTGGCGCTGGCTCAAGTTGGATACATTAAAAGCAAAACTATGGATGAAGTGCAGCTGCAAGACGTCATCTTGGACATTGTGACCGGTGCCATAAGATCGACAGACCTTTCAGTCGATCTGTACAGGTGGTCTGATTTTCCAAATTTCATAAAAAGCCAACGACAGACAATAACTTCGCCTTTGGATTCATACACCGATCGAATGGTTGGTACTCACTAGGATCCGTTTACAAAGGATTYMACACTACCATAGTATGGAGACAAAATAGATAGTAGATATATGTGTTCCGACGTACTGACTTGCGTCTTYCCCCGATATTAATTTTGAAAGTATATTTAAATTTATTATGAAGTTTATTTTGAATCCTTCAAGTTAGATTTATAAACAAAATTTAAAACCATGCGATATTATTTTCCCGTAGGCATTTCTAAAAATTATAAATGTTTGTTATAAATATTTTTGGTGGAATTTATATTTTTAAGAACAATAAATTAAAGATATTACTCAAAGGGCCCAAAGTTCACATCACAAAAAAAAATTTGTTTTCAAAATTGATATTGGTGTAAAACTCAAGTTAGTACACGTTAGATCAAGTACAAGTTTTTCTCCAAAAAGCGTAAGAGTGGATTTATTTTAACTTATACTGTACCAAATGATCCTTTACTTGTTTTTTCTTAAATAGTTTTAAGTTGATAAAAACAACTCTTCTTAATAAAAAAAAAAAATATAGCTAATTTTATACTTATGTTATCTTACGTTTTTGAATGAAACATTACCTACTATATGTTTTTGAATTTCATATTTTACAGCAGAATATTTTTTTTTWAATTTTTTTAATATTTGATACATATTTAAAATTTCGATGAGAAAAATAGTTAATTAAATCACCAACAGCTATTAGAGAGGAACGTGGTAGTGATTAAACACCACTCTCACTCTAGTATACGCGATTACGTTATTCCGACTTCCGAGGATACAATATTATATATTATTCCTAGGTACATAACTATGATTCACGTGCAATTAGACCGAACGTTTTTGAAATATATTTCTCACTGTATACGATAATAATTATGAACTTTAGAACGCAGGACATGTATAAGGATGTCATTTGAATCACGAAACAACTTTTCTGTGATACTGATGTGTGCGTTTAAAAGTGACTGCTACAAACACATGTCTATAATTAAACCTACATTTTGGCAATATTCAATATCATCAGCATATATTACTACTCTACTAAATTAGAAAAATTATATATACAATGTTACATGTCGTATTTAGTATTGAAAATTATGGGCACGTCCAATTAAAATATTGAAATTTATATTAATTTATTATAATATTATTCCGAGAACGTAAATATAGTTAARAAAAATAATTAGGTYGCAGCTTATAAAATATAATAAATTGGAATTATGTGTTTCAATTAAATTATACGATTTTAAATTTTTTGATTTTCAATATGTGTCCTTTCAAAAACTGATTTTAACCTAATGCAAAATAAATGTTTTGTTTGTTGTTTCTGATATATATATATATTTTTTAAGAAAGTTACAGATTATTGTGTTTATTATTTTAGATTCTGAGTGATGTTCAGGGTCTTGATATTATTGGAAAAAAAAGTAAAATTTGTTTGTATATTTGTAATTACAAAAAAGTCAATGATTTTAATATTTACAATTAATAAAAGAAAAATATACAAATAAATTTTACTTTTTTTTTCTAATAATATCAAGACCCTGAAAATTCCACTCAGAATCTAAAATTTTTCTTTTGATTAATTGTAAATATTAAAATCATTGACTTTTTGTATTCATCAGTTTAAGAAGTTGGTTGATTTTTTCTCTGGTCTTTTTTTGTTGTACATTGATTTCCGAAGAGCAATTATATTTTTTGAAAAAACTATAAGTTTGCTATTAGGAATATTTTCAGTCAATTTTCATACACATTTTTGGTTGCTTTCTGTTGTATTGCTCTACTGGTTTGTTTGAGTTTGAGTTTATCGTTGTACTTTTAGTGTTTATGTTCATTAATATTAGCAAGAAAAACCTTATGTTCTATCTCTGCTTGTCATAATTATTCATCAATTTTTTTTTTTTCTTACTGCCAAAATATGTTATCTCAATTTTTTTTTAATTTTAAAGAATCAGAAATTATGAATTTATAACCATCAAGTAGTGATAATTTCGTAGTAATTTCATCAAATATTTATTATTATTATAATTTATATTTATTAAACATTTCTATATGTTAAATAACATCTCATAAATAGTCRAAAAGTTATTACGATAAATACATTTAATTTTGGATAAGTATATGTATAATAGAGTGTTCAAACTTAACGCTCATATTTTCAAATTGTTGAATTCTGTGAAGATAAAAGCTATTATTTTTCAAATAAGAACCTTCATTATCTATTGTTAATTATTCAGTGGATAATTTTTCTTAACTTTTCGTATTAGCTAATTCAAAGTTTGAGCTGTAGTTTTTGAATTATTTAACTTTGTGTACTTAGACGATATCACGCCATCATCCGTKGTCTCTCGTACATAGTTTTAGAGTTATAGTGATTTAAAATAGTTCAGGATTAATATTAATCCGTCAACATAAATATTTTGTAAAAATGGTCAAATTAAAAAAAAATACTAGATTCGATATATCATCTTGTTCATTTTTTATACAACATTTTTAAGGACTATTATCCTAATTATAAACATTTTACTAACTAATAATATACYACTCGTAAAAATTTTCAATTAGTTATATTAACATTTTTTAAAAATGAACCAATAAATAATTTTAAGCAAAAATGTAAGTTTTCATTTTAAAACATATTTGTAATGATATTCCTTAAGTAACACAAAAAAAGTTGAAAAATGTAAGAAATGGGCTYTGTGTGTATTTCAAAATTTCAAAATCACAATTTGAATAATTTATTCTTAAAGAAAAAAATGTGCGTATGAATGCTTAGTTCAGGGGTCTCCAAACTTTTTTTTACGGTGGGCCAAATTGTATATACGCTTTGGCATCGCGGGCCAACGTTTTTAGAAATGTGTTGTCTAAAAAAAAAAAAAAAATTGTTGTCTATCTAGGAATCTAGGATAGGTTATGAAATTGAGAAATGAATAAAAATAGATGAGATTTATTTAAAAAAGATGTATGTTTATTTATATAATYTTTTTATTTTATAATTCAAAATTTGTTTTATTATGATACGAGTAAGTTACTTAGTGAGACGTTTGGAACTGCTTGTTTTTTRTAAGTTGTTATGAATAATACCTACCAAAAGAAAATATTATAAATTCATTTTATTTYATTAATCAAWTCAATAAAAAATAAATWAAAAATAATATATTATTTTCAAAACATTAATTAGCTTGGCGGGCTGGTGCAAAAAGCTTGGCGGGCCGTAGGTTGGAGACCCCTGGCTTAGTTAATCATCGTGTACCTATCAATTATATGGTTATCGATGATACAAACTTGAGGCTTTGTACCATGTGTCTATAAACCTTGTTYGATAATGAGYGACGTCCACCATAACTTTTGATAACGTTGAGGTATTATTATGGAAAAAGATGACACAAACGCCTATAAAGAATTAACATAAATTGAATGATTAAAATAAAAATTGAATTATTATGAATACATATTAATATATACTAATAAAATTGTCATATCCATTACATAGATAAGTCCGAAAATAGAATCAACGGTCATGAAGCAAGGAGAGAAAAGGTTGATGGTTAAAGTCATAAAAGCCATTGGACTCGGTCTCAAACAAGGTTAAGCTAAGTCGTTAAATTTTTTTCTAGTCCATTACTAACGTGTATCTAAATGAATATTTTGATCGAACGCGTTTTGTATTTGTTCGGCGTAGGGTGCTACGAACCGTACTGTGTTATCGAAGTCGATGACCCTTTCCAGAAGAAGCAGACTTCGACAAAGAAGAACACTTCATCACCACAATGGAACGAGAACTTTATGTTGTAAATACAATTATTTTCTTATTTTCTTATTGGTATACTATAAAATATTGTTTTTAACTTGGTGCATCAGTAGTGCAGTGGTTMACATCGGCAATTGATGTGATGGAACATAATTGTGGAATGTCCAAGGAAAATTCCAGAAATATTCTCAATGCTAGAAATTTATCAAAGTGTTATATATATTTTTATATATTGATCATTAGTTAGGTACAATTAATCCAAATGTTGAWTATTGTATACCTTTAAATATATAGCAAGACTTTTGAATAATTTCAAAAAAATATTCAATTTATATAATTTATAATTCTAATTTATGTTATACACTTTTAAATATTCGCAAGTTCTACTTGTACTTGTATAATTTATTTATTTTTAAAAAAATGTCCTTAGAGGTAAAAAAAAAATATTTCGGTAATATTCCTCGGTGGACATTTTTTAGTGGCACATCATTAACTCCGACAGTTCGTAATMCTTAACTATTGAATTTGGTTTTTTCAAGCACGTTGAATCGGACAACCGAGGAGATATTGTTCGAAGTATACGACTGCAACCCGAACGGTGGAAATCAGTTTATGGGCTTGGCTATTGTCAGCGTCGAAGAACTGCTCGTTAACCCTTACCAGAGGCAAGTGCTGTCACTCCAGTCGAGACCATATCAAGACGATTCTGTGTCCGGTACTCTTACGTTAGAAGTAAGTGCAACTGTATTTTTTTCCCGTCATCTGTAGAACAGATAATTCATACATAAATCGCAACATCAAAACATTGATTCAGTAATCGACTGGTATTGGTAAAGGGTTACTACCACTTATTTTTGGAATTAGTTCTGACCTTTKTACTAGATTATTTTATTTTTATAACCTGGACCCGGTTCCAATATTTTTAAAATGTAAATTAGGGATCAGGTTAAGCTAATATTCCAACATTTCCAACGAACACGACCATTTTTTTTTTTATTGTTTAGTATTTCTCTATTTATTCTTTAAACATACTTAAACTAATAATGTACAGTTATTATAAAAATATAAGTATATATTTACTTAAATCAACTTTTTATTTAAATTTAATGATTTTTCGAGAAATAATTGGCTTTAAACAACAATGATATMATTTTATTTAACCACTAATTGTGCTAAAAAACAAATAATATTTACGAAGGTAAAACACAATGTATAGATATAATCGTTGTAAAACCTAATTGTTTTCTTTTATAAACATGAGTTTCGATTCCAGCTATCGGAAAATATTAAATTTTGCTATGATTAGATTCAAGAACTTATTCTTTTCAGTTGTGATGCAAATCCCTGCACTAATAGCTACTGACAAKTTGATCATAATTAATAATAATTACACATATTTTTAATTTATTTTTTAGTGTTTTTATTTTCTGTAAGACACAATTTTAAGCTGAAATCATAAAAATCACATATGAGATTTGGATTAATCATTTTATACACCAAATACAACAACTCATTTTGATCCCTAAAAAATTTTACTWATCGTTTTAAGTTATATAATGTCTAAAAGTTCAAGATTTTTTACAAATATTMAGATGATTACTTTTTTAAAATTTTCATAATAATTACCGTGGTAACATATTTGATATTTTTAAGCTATACATTGTTATAACAAAGGTCATAATCATAATAATTGTTTGTACATGAATGGTACTTAAATATTATTGATAATATAATGACCATCTAGTAATATTGTTATTTGTGTTCTCTATCTGCGTTTTTCTATGTTTTATTATTGTTGATGATTTAAAGTGCAGAAGYTTTAATATAAAACCATTTTTATTTTACTTACAAATGGCTATGMATTAAATCCATTGTATACTGCCATTCTTTGCGGTACAGTGGGTCCTTTAAAAAAAATAATTTTTAATGTTTTATTTTGTATTTTTCTTTTAAAGATTCCGCGTTATTGTAGCCGTATCTGATTGTTTCTGATTGTTACAAAATATTCAAATTGAAAACTCAATCCCGTAACGTCAATTACTTGGTTACCTTTATGAGGTTCTATAATATTTTCAAATATTTATTACCTATAAAAATACTATAGAAAAACAACTACTTAGGTACCAACAATTTTATTATATAAATATTATAAATATTTTGGTGATAGGGATTTATCCATATTTTACCGTGTGATATTTATTTTTTTAACCATAAATATTTTACTATTTTTTAATAGATTATTTTAAGACGTTAAAAAACAATATTTTTTTTTCATTGTTAATACTTTAAAATTATAGCATACATTTTTAATTTAATTTTATAAGTATTAAAATTGTACATAAGTAGAGTATTGGAAAAACATTATTTTGGGTATCACTATCCATCTCTAAACTTTAAATACTTATAAGTAAACAACTGGTTCAAAATGCAATAGTTATACATGGAAATGAAAGTCCTTAAAAACAACATTCTACTTTGGATTAAGGAAAAAATCAAAAACGATAAAACGCTGTGGAATATTTATAATTTTTAACGCCGAAACGACCGACTGTATCAACTACGAGTAGGTTAATCGATTTTTATTTAGTTTGCTTATTACCCGGGTAATGAATACTGCAGTAAAGTCATAACAAACAGATATTACTGTTAACGTGAAATAACGTACCTACCAACCATAATACCTACAAAAAGTACMTACATGTTTTATTATATTAAAACCACAGTGGAGATATTTTTCGTTCTCACTAAATTTGTTCTTTTATACATATCACTTATAATTTGATTTTAAATTAAACGTAAGCGTATATGATACGTAATAATACAGAGTAATTTATACAGGGTGATTTTCCAAGAATGCACAGTGCACACACMCTTTTTTTCTTCAAGAATACAGTTTTTTAAATTTTATTTTTGGAATATGTGATTATACTTAAATATAATTTTATAGATTATTGAGATGCATTGTAATACTCAAGGAAATGAAAACTTTTGTTTTTAAAATGAGATCTCTCACATTTCCAATGTACATTTTTTTGAAATTATTTTTCTAAACATTTGAGAGACCAGAATAAAAACTTAAAAGAGTAGTTTTTGAGTAGATAATGTTAGTTAATAAATATATAAATTTATCAACTATAATAATTTTTAAAGTTGGTTCAAGATCCAAGTATAATAAATACTAGATCCAATATCACACTTATTTTATATTTTCGTGAAATTTTTTTAATGATTATTATCCATAGCATAAATATTTCAGTAACCGATAAATTTTGAATTAGTTACATTTTGAAAAAAAAATATTTGTCAAATAATTTTAAATTGTTGTAGAGGTTCTTATTTGAAAGTCTAAAGTTAGTATCTCCACGAAAACTCATTGAGTTCTAGTTACAAAGCAATATTCAAGAATTTTAAAATATGGTCTTGTATCATCAAAAATCTGAATTTGAACAATTACATGAAGAAAAATGTAGACGAAAAAACATGATGAATCACCATATATAGTTATAGGATGGTTATAGGGTTGTTTTTTTTTGCACTTACCAAATTAAATGTATTTTTATAATCTGGAATCAATTCCATTTCCGGTATTTCAAATGAGGTCGAGCATTCATAAACCTTATAATTAGTTTAAAATCAACTGAAAAAACAGATTTCCAAATTCAACATAATTGAAGAGGAAAAAGGAGGTAATCGTGATCTGAGAATCACCCTGTATATATATTCACACGGTTTCCCAAGGTTCGTTTTTATAAATATGCCTATTAGTCTGGACTGAGATTATAACTCGTCGACTGCAGCTGCAGGGATTCGGGAAAATAAAAATGCGCACGGTGAAATTGGTCACTGTGACATCAATCCTTTGGGAATCTAAAACAATAGAGCTTTTATGTAACAGAGCGTTTAATGGCACCATCTTTATTCAGGCTTTAATATTTGTTATTGTCCAATTTGTACTCTGGTATATTGTAATTGTTACGTTTAACTTTTACTTTAAATTAAACGTAAGATTCTCAAATGTCTTATTAAAAATATACACGTTAATAAATAAACATGTCCGCATGATAGACATGTATTAACACGTCGTGGCTAAACATTTATACCATTGGAAACAGATGCATTGCACAAACGTTGGCCAGATATACCATTAATGTAGATGGACCTAAGTGGTTTAGGGTCTCTTCGTCGACTAATATTTTTAATATAAAAACAATAGATTTAATGTTTTTAAAAAATTTAATTTTTAAAATTTTCTGACCACCTACGTGGATTGACTATAATAATAAATGATGATGGAAATATAAATTTAAATAATAATAACGATAATACAGCAGTAATTGGCTGAGAAGAGGAAGCAAAAATTAGAAAAATATTATTTCTAAAATTTCCAATATATAGTTATAAATTGAAACCGGCAGAGAAAAATGCAAGAATACTATACTCAATTAGTTACTAAATGTTAACACCATACATTGTTAGCTCTACTATATTTTTTTAATAAAATAAATTCAAAATTCASGAATGACGTCAAACACACAATTTTTAAAGACAAAGGTAATTGTTTTCAAATTACGCCAAGACTTAGCCTTTATCATATTAAATTGTTTGTTTTATTTAAAAAWAGAGCAACATGTATCAATTTCTCAAATTAATTGGATTTAATTAATCTTATCGTATCGTAAGTCCATGAAAATAATTTACTCGATTAAACAATGTTAAGTTAACTTGAAGAATAATATATTTCACACCAAACTTTAAAAGTCAGTKTGAGTAAAAAGTCGAAAATATTTATTTTAGACAAAATATTAATATTCATCTGTAGCATATCATCAATTATTTCACAGCATTGTTATACATTAAAAACTAGTTGGGTTTACATATTTTTTGAGAAATTTGCATGTCTCAAATGCAACTCAAAAACACTCCAAGAAGCGAGAAAACAATTTGAGCTATCAAGATTTTCGAATTATCGAGGTTTGAGTTACACAGAGTTTCAAAAATCTGTTACTGTACTTAAATTACATCGAAAATTTACGAAAATTCAGACAAAATTTCTATGTGTAGGATAATTCATATTATAGTTACCCAATCAATAAGTATTAAATCGATTGGTTTTTAGTCGGCACTTCTCTTAGTGCTGTCTGCACTCTCCGATAAATCAAAATATATTCACGGTATAACACGAGGAGCATTATAAAATGTATATTATTAGATGGTGGTAAAATCTGACGAACTTCATCTCATGCGCGTTTCATTTGATCTAAGAAAAACCTCCGTTTTGAGTCTTGTGAATGGGAATTCGCATTCAGTAGATAACATTATAATAATATAATATGGGTGGGTGAATGTAGTGTATAGGTAAATGGATAATGTAATAATAGTACAACGAAGACGGGTGAAAAATGAATTTATGAGATCAATTTATTTTCGGATATTACTCGATTTATTCTTGTCAAATGTACTTCGCGCTAGGTGCTGTCCAACGCTTTATCAAAATTTTTATTTTTTATTTTTTGGTGATTTTATCAGTCAACCACGAGGATATAATGACGGCGGACTTTTCAGCACCACGGATATGCCTCTATTGGTTATAAATTACCTCTAGCATACACTGTATAGTGTATACAGTGTGGAATACTTTGCGTATTGGCTCGAAACATTATTTGCCACACTGTTTCCATCCTACACCTTTATTTCCTGTGTTTAAAGTCTATTGAATTTCATGGGCGTACAGAATAAGTAAATCAGAAGGGTCACTGACTAGGAGTTATACAAGAAGCAAAGAGAAATCTAATACAYGAATTTTACAATTTTTTTAAGGATATCAGTATGTGTATATTTCTGTGGACTGGTGACTTGCTAGATAATAAATAAKCATTTGAATCAGTATACACTTATTACCTCAGGAACCCGCCATAATACRGAATAAGTAATGATCATAATTCTATGAATATAACATTGAAATTAAATTGTGCATTAAAATACGATATATTTATTATAAAAAATGCACAACTAAACGAAAATTATTGGTCGCACATTGCTTTCTCTGAACATGTAAGTCAAAAGTATCTTTAAACACTACTACGAAAAGGAGTTCAATAAAATAATATTCAAAATAATGAATATTTTGGTGTCATTTAGGACACACACTTACAAGCGTGATCAATTAACATTTCCGATAAGATTACATACATACACAACATCCGTAGGAGAAGAGCCCATATAGAGTATTCTAAGGGGAGTATAGGGTAAGAAGATATAGGAGAGCACTAACATTTTAAAATATATTCAGGCGTGATTCGATACAGTAAAMCAGAGCCACGTTCACGCTAGTCTGTTTTATAATCTAATTATTTGGACTTAGGATAATTCGAGCAGTAATAATATTTGGGTTTAAAAAATAAGCAAGTAAATTTTTTATTTTCCAAACAATTAGAATATTTTACTGAACCTATTAGTCGAGTTCTTTATTGTGATTTATCAGTTAAAATCAATATGCTCAAAATTAAAGTATTCAAAAACAAAAAACAAATTCTATACTAAGCACAACCTCTGAGTGTTCATCAAACAGATACCTCATCCTGTTCCTAATCTACGACACCTGTATACGACGAGATCACTATAGTGGTATATAATATTATTAATTTAAACTACTGATTTAAACTAAATTAAATCAAACATTAGAAAAAAAAATTTGGGAATATTGTTTAAAAACAGTATGCAGAATTAAATATCTATACCCTAAATGAGATTTTTGTTAAGTTGACCGTCTTCGAAATTATGTTTTAATTTTAAAAAATGATGTATCGAAATAAAAAATATTATGTTCTCACCTTTGTATCTATCATGTCACCTTTAGTTTGGGTAGTTTTAATATTATAATATACATAATCATTGACCTATCAAATAAAAATCAAGTATAAATACCTAACAAAATTCCATGTATTTTATGGGGGGAGGGGTGGGAGGTATATTTTATAATTCATATAGATTTGAAGAAAGTTATGACATTAATGAATTTTATTGTTTTACCCACTTTTTTTAAATGTACACTTCAAAATTCAAAATTCAATCCTTTCTGCTCTTAAACCAAAATTAATTGTACTATTCTTTTATTTTTTGTATTTTTCTTAACGCTGCAGTCGTCTGATTCCATATATTAGTATTATATAATGTACACTCATTTTTGCCAAGGATTATGCGTGTAATAAGTACCTATACGTCATAATTTATTATGTCACAATGTTTCGTTTATTTTCTTTTGAACGGTGGACGCCAGGTCCATTACACWTTAAAATATAACTCGATACTGGACAGCTGAATAATAATAGGTCCTACAAAAAATATAAGTTTTTTGTGTTTTTGTCAGTATTAAAACTGCCCATACTGCAATGGATTTTATCACATAGAACAATATCATTTTAAACAACTTTTGGCTTTGCGTAATAACTGAATATTTTATAATATACTATAAATATTTTTTTAAATAATATTATGTTCTTAAAATGTAAGTATAAAACTTATGACACGTAGTTGCAATCAATAGACTTGATATTCTTTTTAAATTATTCAAAAATTATCTTGATCGACTAAATAATATTATTTGCAATTACTTTTTTTTTCTAGTATCGATAAACTGAAATAAGAAATAATTTAAAAACCAAACACAACAATTTCATAAAATATGTCTTGTCATTGTTAAGTCTAAACGATGGATTTTTTCATTAATACAGATTATTTTACGTATAAACCAAATAAAATAAAAATGGTTTTAATAATCAAAACATAGATGAACGTAAAGAATATGGGCAAATATTGTATTACAGATATTAGATATTATATTATGTACTTATATACATATATGTAATGAGTTAGAAAAAAAGAATAAACAATACATTTTTCTACATTATTGACTTTTAATTTATTAAAATTATACGTTGGTGAAATATAAATTATGATTTTCTATACTCTATAAAGAACTAAAATCTCTTGAAAAAAAAATGAATTATCTCCATATACTTATTATTAATTATTAATAATTAAGTCTAAATCAAATAAACGTGATTTGTTTCTCTAAGTGTTATATTTGCGGCTCGTGTAT